TAACTTATCCTGTGTCTACATGCACTGCCGAACGTATCTTCAGTAGCATAAAGAGACTAAAATCTCCTCTGCGAAGTACGATGACGGACGAAAGATTAAGCTCCCAAGCAATCCTTCATATACATAAACATAAGAACGTGGATATTGACAGGTTGGTAACGGAGTTTGCCTGTCTTAAGGGTGGACGCCTCGCCCTTTGCTTGTGACCTGTCTTCTTTGTTTTTGTATTTTTTTTCTTTTCGGAACACTGTAGCTTACAGAAAACACTAGGGAAATGGTTAAAATAAACAACTTTCTACTGCATTTTTGCCGCATTATTTATTGAAAATGCCCCGCAGAAAAACCAGGAGATGGCATTTCCGAGACCCTAAATTTCAAAAATTTCTGGGGGAGCATGCCCCCAGACCCCCCTAGTTGTAAGCGCCTTCAGCGCTTAGGAAAAATTTATTCTCGTGCGTACATCTTCAAAATCCCACGCTACGCCCCTGCAAGTACGAACATCTGTTACTCTTACGAATTATCTCAAAAAGGTTAAATTACAACTCACAAATTCCTAAAATCTGTCAAATCCAGCTTGCCATAAAAAAAGAAAACAAAATTTTAAAAAATCCTGAGAGGCAGCTGCAACATTTCAGTGTACAATGGGCGCATATAAATACAGACATGGTCCTGTTTATAAAATCTATTATATATTACTATATCTAATGTATCAAATCCAGCGAAGACAGCAGAAAACCAGGACTGAGAAAACTAAGACATACAATAGACGACTCAAGGGCAACGAACAAATAAGAATTGCAACTTATAAACTTTCTTCACTGGCTCGGAATTAGTTCTTCTTACTCGCTGTGAAGACTTCGTTTGCTCGGGTGAGTTGTTCTCTTGGTCAATTACCACGGGGTCGAAAACACTATAATTCGTCCTGATCTTTCGTCCTCTGAATTGACGTGAATTGAATTGGTTCCGACTAATCGTTACGTTCTTCTTTCTTGACCGAATATCCCAAAACTCCTCAAGATTACTCGTCACGATTATGTATATTTAATTGTTACATATTCCAAACATATTTGTCCTAACGCCGAGTTTTCTCCTTCTTTCCCGAAATCAAGGGAGAAGCCGCGCGAAGGCCAAAACATGTCACTTCAATTTGCCATTTTTGATTTGGAGGAGGAGGGGGGTCTAAATTTTCTATTTATTTTGTCTATTTATTTCAGATTACAAGTAGGTCATATTTTGCAGTTAGATGAAGTACTAAACGAATTTTTGTTTGCTTTAACGTCTATGCGCTTCGCACGAGGCACATCAAATGTTTTAGCGTTTAATGGAAGTTGAAACATTAATAAGGATCAGTATTTTTAAAGGTTTTTTAGCTAGTATATATGTATGTGGTAATTGTATATCGAAGAAAATTTTTATGAGCCCGGGATTACTAGAATACACTGAAAAGAGAAGACCGTATGTATGTAATTCATGAATTTCAAATAAGCTCACGGGCACATCGCTAACAATTTGTAATGATGTATCAGAATATTAAAAAGCTATAATAAAAGATATCTTTTCTAACAAGAAAAATCATGTTCTAAGGGGAAGACATCCAAAGAGTGGCAAGGAAGTAAAAAGTGTTATTCCAATGACTCATAACCTCGAGCTCAAGAGAACACAGTGAGACATCTCTTGAGAAAACACTCGTTGCCAAATGATTAACACTGGAATTTCTCTTATCGCTTTCTTGGCGATTTTTTTCGCTTTTAAGTGTGTTGTCGGCGCCAACAAAACTAACGCCGGAACAAATCTGACCAATCAAAGTTACAAAGGCAAAGGAATCGTCGTCGAAGGAAGCCCCCCTTACAAGGCGTTTTGAAGTAGCACATGCTTCCAATCCAAACTATGACGAACAATCCAAAGAAAACTCCACTAACAGCAATCGCAGCTACTGAGTCCATGGCGGAGAAATGTGGATAGTCTGGATTGTAATGATGGCTTCCTTCTCCAGTCGTGCTTTCGGCGCCGGAACGGGAATGCTAATTATTCAAACACTCACAGTCGTGAAACTGAAAAGGGCAGTCAAGCAGCACACGTGCAAATAAAGGTTGGAGTCAATAAAGATAAAGGACGCTACGCAACTCGGAATGACAGATCTCAGGAATGATCGATCTACTACTTAAAGGCCGGGGGCCATGTCACTAGGATAATACTGTTTTATTTCATGCTGAAGTCATTACTTAGCTCATTTATCCATACACAAAATGTTCCCGAGATTGGAAGATCTCAAACAAATTTCGTCAGGGAGCACTTGCCAAAATATTTTTTGCATGGATAATTTTTGCAGGTATAGCTTAAAACTTGAAAAATTTTGGCCTAACTTTTTAGTCAAGTTTCAATTCATGTTCATCCTTATAAGAGAAGGCGTTGCAAAAGACGACAAGAGACAGTTTAAATGCCTAACCAAACAAGACCAATATTTGAATTAAAATGATGCGAAGACAAGTTTTAGCTTTTTAAAAAGATAGCAAATAGCGTGAAATGAAGTAGAACCAGTCGGCTCAAGAACTGACCTTTCCATAATTAGATAGCTGCTTCAGGGGGATTACGGCTGGGTTTTGGAGCGGCTTGCACTCTCAGCAACTGCAGCATTTTCGCTTTTCTGAATCTCCAACTCCTCGAGCCACTTCTCTTGCTGATCAGGCCTGCTTGCTGATAAAATGAGCCTTTGTCGCTCTCTGCCAATTTTGCTGCCCATTCTTTGTCAAACTCGCTCTTCGATTTCTTTTTCCCTGTCTGTTTCGATGACGAAAACGGACACGACCTTTTCTTTTTTTTGGCGGCATTTTCACCGAAGCAAACGCTAAATATCCACGGAGAAGACTAAAGGCTATAGACAACGCGAAGACAATTCGCACGTGTTGTGTCGAAGCACGCACTCGGTATCAGCTACTACATTGTAGTTCACAGGCAAGTTAATTGATATATGACACGGGTATGACAGAACTTGTCAACGATCAATTAAGATAATTAACGAGAAAAAATCTTTTACCCCCGATATCTTTCGACAGAAATAATATTTTCTTCTGATTTTTGTTTTAAAAGAAAGCTCTCAAGCATATCTATTTGAAAACGTTGAAACCTCAAATATGGGAAAATGGCAATTTTAAGGGTGGCTGATACCTTAACAATATTTCCTCTTAAGAAGACTCAGTACTCTTGCCAAATACAGTCGAACCTCCAACAAGAAACGGACACCTCTCTACCACCGCCACTTTTTTGGTCCCGGCGGACAGTCCATACATTGACTCTTTTTTAAACCTTTCTACAATGGCAACGGCCACTATTTAAAGCGTGTCCTCAACTGCTACTGCACTTTGAAAATATTAGCATTATTTGAGACGATTTCGATACAGACGTCTGCTGGCCACGTTTTCATCAGTCGGCCGGAAAGCCAAATTCTACAGTCACCCAGGCGCAGCCAAAACTTTTGCTCGACTCCTTCCGTTCGACATCTCGTTCGCTGGGTCTCTTAAAGGCGGCTGCTTGAAAGTTAGTCTATGGTTGTACAAGAAGTAGCCGGTTCTCGCGCTCGTTGAAGGCTTGCGCGCACGAAATGTAATAAAATTCTCTTGGGGAGTTTACATTGTTTGTAATGGAAGTTGGATAAGAATAACGGAGAGTATTTTTCAAGCTTTTTACAAGCACGTATTTACGTGGTACTTGAATACCTAAGAAAATTTTTATGAGCTCGGGCCGGGACTACTAGCAAGGAAACATTAAATCGGAGAAACTAACCATATGCATGAAATCAGTCATGAATGTAGCCTGAGTATCAGGCCTTGCTAAGGGGCTACGGGAGATGAGAGTTTAGACGGGGGAGGGGGGAGGGGGAGAAGAGAAAGGAAGCTCTCTCCCTTTTTCGCTTCCATCTTTCCCCTTTTCCCCAGAAACGCCTGATACTCAGGCTATCATGAATGTCAAAATGGGCTCACCTGACACAACGTCAACAAGTTATATTGCTTTATTGTTTTGGTGAATTGGACCCGATACAATAGAGTGACTACTTGTTGATACAAAGCTATTGTCAACATTAAAGAGGACTGTCTTTCCTAACAAGAAAAATCTTGTTCTAATTCAAACCATCCAAAACGTGGCAAGAAGTAAACAACATTGTTCCAATTGACTCTTAACCTAAAGAGATCTTAACATTGAGACTTCACGTGAAAAATACAAAGAAAAGCCGGACACTTGTTACCAAATGATGAACACTAGATTTTCTTTTACAGCTTTCTTGGCGATTATTTTCGCTTATCAGAGTATTGTCGACCCCATCAACGGAAAAAATCTGAGCAGTCAAAATTACACAGGCAAAGGAATCTTCGTCGAGGGGAACAAAAACATTGTCAACTTGGGCCATGACAAAGAAATTAAAACTGCTCTAAGTCAGATACAAAAGAGTTTAGCTTCTTTGGAAGAAAAGATTTCCGCAATGCAGCCGAATCGACGAGGTAAGTAATAATTACTGGCTATATTTTTCTGTGGGTAAGCTATAAGGCGACAAAACAGTCAGGAGTCTAAGTCTAACATGAATGCCAGCGAGGTGACCCTTTAGTGTATTACTGAGTGATTTGTTGTGGACCCGAGTCAGATACAAAAGAGTTTAGTTTCTTTGGATGAAAAGATTTCCGCAATGCATCCGACGCGAATCGATGTGGTAAGTAATTACTGGCGTTTTTTCTCTGCACTATTAGCCTCCGACAAAACGGTTCGAATTCTGGCAATTATGAGTGCCAGCAAAGCTACTATTTAGTGTAATTATTAAGTTATTTGTTGTGGATTGGAGTAACATCTTAGCGCTTGTCCATCAATAACTAGTTTATCGATAGGATTTTCCCATAAATACTTGTGTTTTGAATTTTACCCCTATCCTAAGATCAGTTCCTATAGCTGTCAATACTCCGCGGTTTTCACATCCTACTGATGAAATGAAATTCAGGTTGTGAAATCGATCTATATTCATCTGTAACATCATTCAAAAAAAGTCTGTTTCCTTTTCTTCTAAAGCTTGCAAATTCGACTTCGAAACGGGCTTGAATGGTTGGAATAGGACTGGAACAGCATTTAACAATCAACCTACCTACGGTGATAACCCAACAGCTCGCAATAAAGGACAACCTGCCAAGCAGCAAGGAGATTGGTGGATCGGAGGGTACGAAAACAGGTCATCCAAGGCAGCAACACCTGGAGCAGTTCAGGTAGATGGTCCCCAAGGAACTCTTGCTTCCCCGTTCTTTAAGATCGTTGGCAAACGGATATCATTCTTGATTGGAGGAGGCTGTGACATTAAGAAAGTTCGTGCTGAGTTGATTGTTGATCACCAAGTAAGACAGCCTGACAGACTTGCTTTCAGTTTTTAGTTTGTTGTGGCATATTTTTTCACTACAGTTTCGAACTCGGCTTTATAATAGGTGCAACACCTAGCAATTAACATGATATTTTCCTTTATACTCTACGAATGCCTAACTGAGTTTTGCTGACATTTTTGTGATATAGGAGAAGTATTTCCGAGGTTAATGAATATTCCATTCAATCGACTACAGAAACGTCATGGCTTCTGTTTAATCCTTCCCATATATTAGCTAGGTTATGTAGCCCATTATGTAGACACTGTCATACATACATACATACATACTTTATTGGCTCGTCCCCACGGGGCTTTTCAGAGTCAATTTTACATTACAAAATTATAAACCAAGTACATGACAATAAGAATATAACAATGATAAAAGAAGACAAAGGTCAATAAAATTAATTAAATTAATTAAATAAAGCAGTCATTAAGAAGCTTTTGCCTGAGTAAACACTTGAATTCCGTCACGGATGGGCTAAGTTTGAGCGCAGGCTGCAACTCATTCCAGAGAGAGGTTGCTCTATATTGAAAGGTCCTTTGGCCGCTGGCAGTGCGGAAGAGTGGTATGTTCAAAAGTTGAGAATTTCTCGTATTCCTTATCGAGACGGCGGATCTTCCAACGAGCTTTGATGTCAAATACTCCGGAGCACAACTCGTCATGCACTTAAAAACCAGAACAGCAAAACGAAAATAAAGTTGTTGCCTGATTGGTAGCCAGCGCAAGTCTTTTAGCAAAGGAGTTATGTGATCGAATTTTTTAGCGCCGCTCAAAATACGACAAGCGAAATTCTGTACTGCTTGGAGCCTGTCCAGATTAGTTTGAGTAGTATTGCTCCAAACAGAAGAGCAATAGAATAATTTACTAAATACTAAGGCATTTATAATAATAATTAGCGCGTGTTTATTAAAAATATGCTTAACGCGGTTAATTTGGCCCAAACGTGACATGCATGAGGATACAGTAGAAACAATATGCTCATTATATGTTAAGTTAGAGTCCAGTGTAACACCAAGGTCTCTTGCAGCCTTAACGGGCTCGAGTTCCTTCCCCAATAGAAATAGCCTAAAGTCGCTAACCTTAGCAGTCATTTGCCGGCTGCCGAATATCACTAGTTTTGTTTTATCTGGGTTGAGTAAAAGCTGATTATCAAAGCACCAATTCCTAATGCTTAACAAGTCCTTGTTCATTTTTTCTATCGTTTCGTGCTGATCGCGGAGTTGAAATGACATGAGAAGTTTGGTATCGTCGACGTAACACTGCGATGTACAATTTTCTGGCACAGAAGGGAGATCATTAACGTAGATGTTAAAGAGTAATGGGCCAAGGATGCTCCCTTGTGGAACGCCAGAACTAACAGGTAGTTTGGTCGACAGAGTTGTATTTATTCGCACAAATTGGTATCGCGAGGTTAAATAGCTTCCGAGCCATTTTATCGCAGGTCTAGACGCACCAATGTCCTGTAACTTAGCGAGGAGTATTTGATGGTCAATACTGTCGAAAGCTTTGCTTAGATCAAGAAGGACAACTGCAGTCAGTATATGAATTCCTAACTTTTCAGACTGCGCAATAGCTATATTAAAATTAAGCATTTTTTTCTTGAAAGTTCAGAGTGTCTTTCACATTTTGAAAAGACTCCCTTAGCTTGTCATCAGTCAGTTTGAGGGGTCGCTTGCAAGAAGCTGAATTGCATCTGCCTCTCTTTTTCAGGTTGTGAACCGTTCTACTGGTTCATGTACTGAAACCATGTCTCGCAAATTCTGGGACGTTCATGCCTTTGTTGGTCGAACAGCAAGTGTCAAATTGGTGGACTACAGCAGTGGCGGATGGGGTCACATCAATTTTGATGACCTCGGAGGCGATATAAGTTGTGGGCAAAAATAATCTCGTCTCACTGCTTCGGTTTTACCGGATCCCAGTATCGCACTTAAGGGAGTAGACACAAAACATTTATAAGATAAGATAAGAGGGAATAGTTAATCAAAGTAATCGATGAGATTTAAGGAATACGTAACTGAACCGCTAAGGATACAATTAAATGTTTTTCTGTTTCTGACAGTTCAACTGTAACTGATGTATCCGAGAAATAAAGATTTTAATTATACCTCAATTGTATGGCGTTTTAAACTTTGTGATGACTTTAGAATAGAATATTATGGTTAAATATCGATCACAGTCGCCTTACACCTATCCCTTACATGCATGTATTCCGTATTTGTTTTTACAATATCAACAATATTTCCTGATGACTTTTTACCATTTTTCTCAAAGTTCTGAATAAACTTTTACAATAGTTTATCATAATCCTTCAAAAACATTATTTACGAATTTATTGGCTGTAATTTTAACCAAAAATTTTACCGATATTTTATGGAAATGTGTTCATAGGAGAAGAGACGTGACTAACAATTTACTAATCACGGCAAGAGACTTCCTCGGGAGAGTTTCATATTATGCTCACATGTACAGATGCTCGGTAGTGAATAGGACGAAAGGTTCTTGTACACAGAAATCTTTCTCTGATGCGTGCAAAGGAAGGAGGGAAGGGGAGAACAGACGAGACATCGCTTCGCTTCTCTTCCTTCTCGTTCCCATGGTCCTATGCGCTTCGTCACCAGTCACCCGCAATTTTCGCCTGAGGATGAGGCAGACGATCCCACGTATGACAGAAACAGTTCCTAAAGATATCACTGGGAAAATAAGACATACAAGCTATATCTGACTGGGTTTTAATCCTATGACAAGGACCAAGTCAAATTTGAGCAGCTAATTTACCATAACGTTTCTTTAAATTCCCTTCAATTTCCCTCATTTTTGGCAAAATAGTTTGTACGGTAATTAATGCATTGTAATCACTGATTTAGATCAAATGTATTATACTGATTCAGAGCCAAAGAGAGTGAATCAGTCCTGCTGTTTTGATTCAGTAAAGGATACTGAGAAATCGTAACTGCAAGATTAGCTGAAATTTCCCTGGAATTTAAAGCTGAAATTCAGTCACTCCAAGTTTTGTGTACCAACAGAATCGACTGCAACAGAAAAAATACATCTAGCCATGGGTTATAGCGAACATGGGGTTCGACAAAATAAAGGTTAAATTTTTGCCAAATAAAGTCGAATTGCTCACATTAAAGTACACGTGTAGAACTGACCAGAAACGAGAGAACACTACTTTAATGTGAGAATTTAACTTTAATACACAAAAATTTTGCCGTTGTTATTTAACGCTTTTTTCTTTCTTCCTCTTTCTTTTTTTTCTCAATACACCCTCGTTTTTTGTTTATTTCTGATTGGTCCGCATTAATAAAGTGTTTATGGAGGAGGAGGAGAAAACATGTTCCGAACAATAGTACAGTCCTTGCGGAGTAAATGTTATTAAAAATCATATTCTTCGAAGGAATACTTCATGTAGAAAAATGGAAAGAAAAGGAAAAACGAGAGCCTGGCTGGGCACCAGATCTCTGATGCCTGAGATAAAAGAACAAATAATTGCAATTACAGGATTAATAAGGACAAGTTTGACTTCCCTTTTAAGGATGGGTTTTTGTCAAGCATATTCAATGCCAGATTCGTCGAACACTTTATATGTAAAACTGATGAAAACTTGACAAGAATTGTCAACACTGTGGTCATCTTATTTTCACCACTCTGTGGAAGAGCAGCTCTGAGGTTGGTTCACTCAACAACTGTTTACTCTCTAATGATGCTTTACATGAAAAATGCTTTTCGATTCGTTTCTGTGGTGCAAATCTCTTTCACCAAGAACCAGACAGTCAGTAGATACTGTAATCAGGAGCACCCAACATCAATTTTCGTAAAATATCTGTTCGGAATACGATTCGAGATCTAGAATTTTCGAAACTTTTTTTTTTAAATTTCTTGCTTGCCTGCCTCTCCTAGGATTTTCGAACATCTGAAAAATGGCATAATTGCCCATTTTTATAATTTTTATCCTAAAAAGGTCACCTAGAATTTTCGGGAGTCTTTTTTCTAGCTGAAATTTTCGAAAAGGTAAGTTTCGATCCCCATAATTTTCGGATCACTGGAATTTCAGCTAGGAAATCCGAACAAATGTAAAACGTTGAGGGGATAAAAATGTGCCTATATCTACCGTTTGAACAATAAAACTTATTTTTAATAATGCTATGTTTAAGTGGTTTCGAACTATATTCTCGTTGGTTGCCCCTGTATAATGTAATCCGAGCATCTTAGCATTATCTAACAATAGGTGGGTAAAAATGGGCAAAATTTTTTAATTTAAAAATGCGAGCATAACCTATCAAAAATAGCTTTAGAACAGTTTCATTTTTACATTGTTTTCACCTTGGAGGTATTGAAAGAGTTATTTGTGGCCTCTCAACATTGGCGGAAAACAATTTGCTCCGCAAGGTTCTGCAATACACGTATTTCTAGTTAATTCGTTGCTTCGAGCGAATGAGCAATGTACTATTTCCGGCCCGGAATAGCTCATACCAGTCCCTTCCCTTCCGGTTGTAAACGCTGCCTCAATTCAATCAAGAAATTGAGATCAACAGTTCGAAAAAATGGCGTCTACAGCGAGGCCATTTCATGATATGTACGACATAAAGGAGGAACTAGGTAGAGGAGCTTTTAGTATAGTTCGCAAATGTGTTCTGAAGGAAGGAAAAGTCGAATTTGCGGTGAAAATTCTCGACACGCGTAAGATGACCTCTCGAGACACCCAGAAAGTTGAACGAGAAGCGCGCATTTGCCGAGCACTGAAGCACCCGAATATCGTCCGCCTGCACTCCAGTGTTATGGAAGAAGGTTTTTATTACTTGGTGTTCGATCTAGTTACTGGTGGTGAACTATTCGAGGAGATAGTAGCTCGGGAATATTACAGCGAGGCAGACGCTTCACACTGTATTCAGCAAGTGCTACATAGTATACAGCACTGTCATGAGCATAACATTGTACACAGAGACTTAAAACCGGAAAATCTTCTCCTCTCTAGCAAAGAAAAAACAGCTCATTGTAAACTGGCGGATTTTGGACTGGCGATCGAGGTTGACAATGATAAATTGGGGTGGTTTGGTTTCGCTGGAACGCCAGGCTATTTGTCGCCCGAAGTTCTGAAGAAAGAGCCATATAACAAAGCCGTGGATTTGTGGGCCTGTGGTGTTATTCTCTACATCCTTTTGGTTGGCTACCCACCGTTTTGGGACGAAGATCAACAGAAGTTATACGCTCAAATCAAGGCTGGGGCTTACGACGTAAGTAAACAAATGTTGGTGTATTTTGTTTTTGTTCGAGGGTAATCGATATATGAGCTTTAGCTTGTTAGCACAGACGGTTTCGAATGCCTCGTACTTATCAAGAATCTTCGCCGATGTTTTTCAGCTCCATGCAGAGAAAATGATCTTAAAGATGTATTTAAATTTTCTGTTTGAGAACGACTTAGCGACTGAATGAAGAACGCGACTTTTGTTTGTACTGAAGATAAATGACATTCACCGTTTATTTTTTTGCCGCCTTCATTTTCCGGATCGATTTCTTCGCTGAAATTCCTCCCACCAAAAAGAATTTTATTTTTTGTTCGGTTTCTCTAATGATACTTTCTTCGCCGTAGAGTGTAATGGGCATCAACAGAGTAAATTGTTTTGTGAGATTCATCTATTCGTTGCCGTAATTAACGAGGTATTGTTCCTCGCATCCATAAAACACCTGGCCCGGTCAGAAAGAAGTAAATTTTAGAAAAATATCATGTATATTTACCAGACAATCGAAGCCGTGGGGAATATTGAGGATTGATTTTACGAGTCGGGATTTTAGAACGAAGGTCATGATTGATTTACCGAGATAAAGCTTTGTTTTTTGTTGAGAAACCCTTCCAAAGCTAGACAAAACCACTGAAAATTTACAAAAAGCCACAACAGTAACGAAGAAAGTAATAAAAATGAATCTATATGTCGTTGACGCGGCTTCAGCGCTATTAATTTGAATTTTCAAGTCAGGATGAATTCAATATTGTGTTAATTTTGATTGATGTAGGTCGATATACATGACAGGTTCTTAAAATATAATATATCTTTGAATCAGTGATGAATAATATTATCTTGAGTACCCGCAACAAGATTTTCTGTTGCTAAATTTTCTTTTTGTCATGGAGAGCAAACTATTAATGAGCTTCCATATTGCAATTGGCGATAGTGTTATATTGTAACCTGTTAGTAACGGAGCTATCATAACACTTAGAAGAATTTTACCAAGTTATTTTAATAAAGTCATTCATATTTTGCCCAAAATACAATGATCTCATTTTTGCTTTTCCACTGACTGCATCATATTTTTGTGCATTTTATTGGCAACTGCTGACAGAAAACTTTGTAAACCAGTGATAACAGCGTTTTTTTTCAACAAAAAGTTAATGGAACTTATTAAAATTATTTTGGTCAGTATACCCTAATGGGTGGGGAAATATTGGATGAATATTTGTCTTTGCAGTTATGGTTTCCTCCTCAATTGTCAAATTATGATTGTTGTTTGGTAAGTGGTTTTCATCATGAAAATCATTATCATTTAAAAAGTGTGAGGAAATGTGTCTTGAGCCCAATCTTAGCATATATGTCATCAAATGTAAATTCATCTGTGCTCAAAAGTAATTGTGTCTGAGTTTAAACGTTTGATACCACTATGCGCGAATTAATGACCAATCATTTTGATCTCAGTGTTACTGCAATCTCCATCAGTGCAACTGATCATGATGACGTAAACTTTGCATAAATTAGTCATGTACCTCATTCAAATGAGTCATATAATAACAATGTAACATGCACAAAAGAAATGTACCAGATGTGGGTTGAGTTTATGAAATTATGAATATATGAAAATCATATACCGGTAATAATGTGAACTGCAGAGTGAAAAATTATTTGAAGGACGATCATCGCAGTTATATACGCAACTTACTGGTAAGCAGTTGCGAAAAGAAACCCTGAAAAAAAATTCAGGCAACATGTAGTCCGGGAAAAGAAGGAAAAGCCTGAAAAATTTGGCAGAGCGCTACACTGAGGTCAAGGGTTTGAATCCCGTACAAGCCTGAATTTTTTTGCAGGCTTTCTTTTCGCAACTGCATAAGTTGCGTATATAACTGCGATGATCTTCCTTCAAACAATTCTTCACTCTGCAGTTCACATAATGATTTGCATATATTCATAATTTCATCAGCATCCTTTCACAGGTTTATAACGAACCAGTTTAACAACTTTCTCCCACTTGGCTTGTTAGCTTAACTGGTAGAGCACTGCACCAGTATCGCAGAGGTCAAGGGTTCGAATCCCGTACAAGCCTGAATTTTTTTTCAGGCTTTCTTTTCGCAACTGCATAAGTTGTGTATATAACTGCGATGATCATCCTTCAAATAATTCTTCACTGCGCAGTTCACATATATGATTTTCATTCATTATTTCATCAGCATCCTGTCACAGGCTTATAACGAACCAATTCAACGACCTGTCCCTTATTGATAGAGCGCTACACGGGTATCGCAGAGGTCAAGGGTTCAAATCCCGTACAAGTCTGAATTTTTTTTTTCAGGCTTTCTTTTCTCAATTGCGTAAGTTGCGTATAAAACTGCGATGATCTTCCTTCAAATAATTAGTGGGTTGAGTTTGTTTTTGGTTCTCTCCTTTGCTCCTAGAGGTTTTTTTTCATGTATCTGGGTTTTCCCGGTTTTCTCCTCTCCTCAAAAACCGTCATTTCCAAATTCCTATTCAACCAGGTATCAGGTAGACAAAGTGGATGTGCCATTTCTAAACCATTATTATTAATTTATATATTTTATTTATTTACCTCCCTTCCCTTGGTCCTGTTCCCCACCTCCTTCCTATTCACTGAGGCCCTGTTGGGGCAAAATTCCGACAAGCGACATGGACTTAAAACAGTGACTTAGGACTACAGATGAACCTCTCTACAATGGCCACCTTAGAGACAGAAGGAAGTGGCCGCTGTAGAGAGGTTTTAAACAAGAGTCATCTGTCTGCTGGGACAAAGAAAGTGACAGTCGTAGAGAGGTAGCCGTTAGCGGGGGTTTGACTGTAGATGAAATGGCGACAAATGACATATAGATGGGTGTGCTTCAATTTTTATTTCCCATTGCTGTCACACTCATCACCATACATCACCAAACCCAAAAGAAAGGAAAATATAATTTAAACCTGGGACGAAATTGAACCATAACAGCTTCATATTCCCAACTTAGCCTGAAAATGTTTTTGGTAATAGTGGGTATCTACTGAGAAGTGAATGTTTGTAAAAATTGAGTCTGTCATCTTCAGTTTTAACTGAAAAGATTAAATTTTTTACTTCAAAATACGTGAAAAGTTTTTTTTTCATCATGTTCACAGTTCCCATCTCCAGAATGGGATAGTGTGACAGAGGAAGCAAAACTTCTGATCAAGAAAATGCTGACAGTGGATCAAAGTAAGAGGATCAATGCAGCGGAAGCTCTCAGACATCCTTGGATTTTGGTATGTTGTTGCTAAGTAATCACTAGTCTTTAGAGATCTTTAGAGATAGTTGAAATCTTGGGTGATGGTGAGACCGGTGATGGTGAGACCGGTGATGGTGAGACCGCTTCCGGAAAACAAAGAACCTGTCCTTACGATGATCTTTTTAAAGCTTTTCTGCTCCTTGGGAAATTTCATCTGGTTTTCGTTTAGACTTTTCTAGACCTTTAGTGTAATATACCGGTACATTTGAGGTGAAATGAAACACAGAGGGAATTATCTTTTCTGATTTTATGGCGCTCTTAACGGCGTTGTTGAATTTTTACAAACAGCGAACGAGTCCACGTCGAAGTGAAAAAACAGCGTGCAAGATTAAAACGTCTGTTCAGTACATTTTCACTTGATGCATGCCTTGACAAAATTCTGACCGACTTATGGTCGGGATCATCTTCTTCACTCTTTCATGTAAGCAACAGACCAACCTTCTTTTGGTTTACCGGCATAATAAACCCGTCCGGGGATGCTTTATAAAAGTTTCAGCCGTTTGAGTCCTTGCAAAACCGCGCAGGTAAGGACGCCTGGGGATAGTAAGGTGGTTTCACTGCGGACGGACCGCTCGCGTTACTTGCGTGGGTCCAGATGTTCGAACGCCGATTAGCGCTATAAACCCAGGGTTAAATTTTAACCCGAGTTTCTTTTTCTTTTGTTCAAAAGCATTTTCCCAGACAATTTTCTCTCTTCTTTTTAGAGCATCCAATCATCAAATTGTAGGCAAAAAGAATAAAACTGAATTTGCTTCTCAAACTTTTATACCTGAAATCAAATTTCGCACAAACCCTGGGTTAACTTAACCCTGCTTTGAATGTGCGTGTACTTATGTGTGTCGTCAGTTACGACTTATGACCAGTCAAAACAGAGGTAAAGACAACCCAGTAAGCCACACAATCGCAAACTACTAAGTTCATGACTTACCGTTGTTTGCGGTTTAGTTTTCTCATGTCTCATTTGGCTTTTTCCTTTCAGCGCAGTAACATTACAGAAATATTTATGATGTTCACGGTTTTCTGGGTTTCACAGTAATGTCAAAGCCAGCAATTTTGCTGAATCGAAGTGCGGTTTGTTAGATCATCAGGTTATTTTAAGTTACATCTTTGGCGCTAAAAATGTCTAAGCCAATCGGAGCAAAAAGGATTTTCGGATCATTACACGTTTCTGGGAAACTTCCCACCTACCCCTCCCCTAAGCTAACATTTTGCCCTAGGTGAGAAGTAAGTGTTAATGTTGGCTTAGGGGAGGGGTAGGTGGGAAGTTTCCCAGAAACGTATAATGAGGGAATTTCCAGCTATAGCTAATGAGATAAGGGATTGACCAGTAGAACACTTATAGCAGTGGAGCGGGGGGGGGGAGATGGGCGAAGTACCAAAAAAATATTCGCAGAAAGGAAAATTAAAGGAAAAAAGTCATTTAACGCCAAATAACCCTAAATAATATTCATGTTAAGGCCTTTAAGAGAATTCATGCAAAGGAAACGTTTTCGAAAAAAATTCGTGCGGCTCGAAAATTCCCCACCCTCCCCATATTAAACTTTTCTAATGGTGCGTCCTTAAGCTTAGTTTCAAGCGAAGGAAATACTACGGAGTCTATGGTATATAGTAGATAAAACTGCCGGAATATTTCGTGCGAATGTTCGTGAGCAGAGCAGGTAAAACTGTGAGACTGACTTTATGTCCTTGTCCTAAAGTTCTTGGTAGTACCCGATGGACGCTCTTCGATGAATTCTGATTTACGGAAGAAACACCTTGTAAATGACCATCTTAATTACCTTATCCAACCGTGGTAAAAGTATTGAAAATAATAAAACGTTGCTTGGCGTCCTTAGGGACAAATGTATAAAATTGAAACCCGCGATAAACAGTAATAAAGCAGATACTATTAACATAGAAGATCTTATGACATAACAAAGACAAAAATACTGTAAGTTGTCTTTTATCCTGTTTGTAATCAATCAGTGTCTTGGTTAGTTATTCCAGGTACGTTGTTATCGACACGATTCTTCAACCGTCCAGTCCTCTCTTGTTCCCATTCATTCGATGTTCGCACTGCTTACATTGAAAAATAAGAAGAATACAATAACCATGAGATAAGAGATCTGCATTTTTAGACAAGATCTCTGCTTAATATTGCTTTGTGGTCGTAAAATTCACAACAGTTATTTTCCTGTCTCACAATTTACATACTGTACTGAACTAGAAAAATTCGTAAGTTTTTTGTATTTAAAATTCAGGTATCTCAAGGAGATTTTTCGAAGATGTTGGCAATTTAACTCTTCTTTCCACTTCTCCTGATCTGCCTCTTAAAATGAAACAAGCCAAATATTGCACGTTCTTTAGTTTTTCTTAGTGAGTTTGAATTACCGCCTTCTTGAATTTTGTCGCTAATTGTGCAGAGTGCTTCGTGGCCGCGAGATTGACTCACTGTCGTCCATTGTTTACGCACCTGCTTCGAAAACAAAATCGCTTTTCTAAAAAAAACTTGATTTCCTTCCTTTTTGCTTGTATCAGTGCTCTGCGGTGACGCTTACATCTAAGCTGTTTCGATCTTTCACAACTTATACGCTTAGTGTTGACACAAAACTTAAAAATCACGTTAGTTTTTTTTTTTTGTATTGTCAGTGGTTATAGAACGCAGTAATAACACCGTGATTTAGGTTACTCTCGGCATTCTTAAGCGCTTGGGATCCAAACGTATTAATTTTCCTTGAATTTAATTTTACAGAACCGTGAGCGAATCGCCTCCAAAGTTCATCGTCAAACCACCCTCGATGGACTAAGAAAGTTTAACGCGCGACGTAAACTCAAGGGCGCCATTCTGACCACACTGTTAGCGACGCATAATTTCAGTGGCTCTAGGAAGAAGAAAGAATCAGATGAAGATGTGATGGCGACGCATCCCGAAGAAACAAATGGCTCTTCTCAAAATGCGGCGCAACCGCCCTGGAAGGTTCAGAAAGAGCAAGAGATCATCCGATTGACACAGCAGCTGATTACGAGCATCACCACCTTAGATTTTGACACCTACAACAAGCTCGTCGACTCGCATGTGACAGCGTTTGAGCCCGAAGCGAATGGAAATCTCGTCGAAGGCGTCGAGTTTCACAAGTTTTACTTCGATAACGTCTTGCGGCAACGCAACGCCCCTACGAATACCACTATTCTGTCGCCGCACGTGCACATCCTTAGCAGCGACGCGGCGTGCATTTCCTACGTGCGTTTGACGCAACGCATTGGAAGCAACGGAGAGTCGGTGACAGATCAATCAGAGGAGACTAGAGTATGGCAGCTAAAGAATGGCCATTGGGTAAATGTTCACGTTCATAGGTCTAGTTCTGGAAAAGGACGTTAGAATTACAACTCAGTCGTATCTAATTTACGAACTTTATTACATATTATGAATTAACACACGAATTAGGATGTGTTCTTCAATCTATTTACAGGCAGAGTGGTTTAAAATTTAAGTTGTCAAAATTAGTACTTCGGTATAGCGCGGTCTTCTTACCACGAGAAATTTCAACTCGCCTTTTACCAAAAACCACTAATAAATTACTGCTAAAAGATTTAATTATATTGCTTGTTGCCATCTCTATAGCAAGCAAGAATATTTTGTCATAAATTAAGGTTCTCATGGAATTCTATATAGATTTATTGTTCCATATTAGCACCAAAATTTCAATTATATTTTAATCTGAATCTCTCTGCTTATTTTTAAATTGGTAGGCTTATTCAGCCGAACTGGAATGACTTTCACTGTAAGTTATCTTGAAATATAAATTATTTATTTCTAGGCCAATAGTCTATCTTAAATTAAATTTGCCAGTCAGTATGTCAAATGTGCTTGCCTTTGATCACAGGGAATCTATATTGAGCTATTTCATAGTAAAGTAATACAAATTTTGGAGATCAAAATGTCAAGAAGTGTGGGCAACGTTAATAAGATATAAACAGTTTGGGATTTAAAAGCCTTCGATTAAAGACAGCGAGACAGGCATGCTAAAAAAAGATAGAAAATATATTATTCATTTATTTGTTGCGCAAAGACACGCCAATTTGTCGGCCTTTCTAAATTACTAGGGCGATTGGAAATGGGGAGGAAAAGACTAAGGTTGTCACAATTGTAATGGTATTAATTGATAGTTAAAATTGTGCATAAATTAAATATTGTTTTGTCGTGTTGCTTAACCGGTTTTGATCAGACCCTGAACGTAGTGCTTACATAAAGGTAGCAGTTAGAACGATACTGTTATTACTACGTTGACGGCAACGAGAACTTGACAAAAAAAAAATAGGTTGATTAGGCAAAACAACAACTTTGCACGTGCGGTCGACTTTTTTCGGACATTTCTTTGCCCTCACGGCACGACAACGACGTGCAAATGCCTAATTTCACGTTTTATGGAGGACGTAGACAAGTCCCGGAGAAATTTTCTTTCTGTTTCTGAACTTGGATATATAGTTCCTTAGGAATTCAATTCCAGAAGAGTTCGCTTGCATTTGACAAAATAAGCGAGTTGGAATAATCGCGATAGCCCTCGCCGTCGTGGTATCTTAACCTTCCTTGTATCTCTGCGTGCACAACTTCGCCACCATTAAGGTGGCTCCGTTATGAATAAAGGCGCGTGGAGGTATGACGAACTTTTCTTCATTACTTTTTGGTTTTAACGCGATGGCTACGAAACTTTGGGAAGAACTACAGATATTCAGTAATATAAGAATTAATCCGATTCTAATGGTGGCAAACATTTTTACTGAAATTAGCGTTTAAGTGGACCCTACTGTTCAAAGAAAATGGTGTCTAGTAAAAAATTTTGCTGATATTCTTTACTGAAATTTTTGGAATCGGGTTTTATTGATATGATAAGTATGCCATATATATTTCATAGAAATCGTTGGAGCAAAAGTCCGTAACTAGAAAGTCGTTCGAAATTCAGCAGTGAAATTGGTTTTGAATTTCGAAAGCGAATTGCTCTGAAGTAGAAAGAGCCGCCAATTCAAATTTTCGGGACAAGTACAGTCAACTCTAGTCTGCTACACAGCCGTTTTTAGAGTCGTCACGCAATTGGAGCATTGCGTGACGACACTAAAAACGGCTGTGTAGCAGACTAAGTCAACTCTCGCCTTGTGAACACCCCGCTTTAACGGACACCCCGATGATACTGACAGCAGCTAAATCCCTGGCAAAAATAAATTACGGACCGTTGATATAAAAACACTCCTTCTATTACGGACTCTCGCTAATGAGGTCACTAACTCGAGGTCCCTACAGTGTCCGCTTTAACCCTTTAGGCCCCAATATACACATACAAATTCTCCAAACTGATCTCTATACATTTCCATAAAAGAATGAGTTGAGGGAATTTGATAAAAGATCAAAGCATTTTCTCTTAGGTGATCATTTTATTCATTCTCATAACCTAATCTCTTGACATTGTATGGATATTGTTAGGAGAAAACTGATGTTGGTCACAATTGGACTTAAAGGGTTAAAGGGAGTTGACTGTAATTCTAATGTTTGGTAATTCTTACAACCAGAGCCGACTGCCAATCGTGCTATTCTTTAAAAGGTACTCTTAAGCTTTAGGAGCCCTATAAATTGCTCCAAACCTTGCTCTGTTGTCGAATGGCTTGTTCCTCGACATTTCCGAAATATATTTCAGCAGTTTTGGCTGAGGCTCCTCTTACATACATTTTAATGAATTGCTATGCATCTTCATCGGTTTTACTGCTGTGCGTTGCTCCCAATTCAGTCAAAGCTCAGATAGAACTGTCGAACACCTCTGTTTATGCAAACGACTTTAGCTCGAGCGACGGTTCTGCGATTAATTTGCACTTCAGCCGGGGGGTGAACGACAATGATGCCCATTCCTGCGAACCGAACTTTGTCACACCCGTGTATGAATAGAAAACTCTGTAAAATTTTCTTGACTTCTTTCCGTCTTGAATGGATGGGTGGTATATTCTTATTATTCCCACCAGTTGAATTACCAATCATAAAGGTCCGGTTTGTGTCTCAGAGCTAAGCCGGCTGGAGTCTTGGATTCGTGGCAGATTCATCCATCTCAGACAGGTCTAAGGGTAGACGGCAGACGAAGAATCATCACTCATAGCGGTCCAGTTTGTATGACCCTGTGACCCAGTGAGTTATGCTGGCTGGAGTCTTGCATTCGTGGCAGATTCATCCATCTCAGACAGGTCTAAGGGTAGACGCGTGACGAAGAATCATCACTCGTAGCGGTCCAGTTTGTATGTCCCTGTGACCCAGTGGGTTATGCTGGCTGGAGTCTTGCATTCTTGGCAGATTCATCCATCCCAGACAGGTCTAAGGGTAGACGCCAGACTAATAATCACTACTCGTGATGGACCAGTTTGTATGTCCCTTTGACCCAACGAGCTATGCTGGCAGGTGTCTGCATTCTTGGCAGGTTGATCCATCCCAGACAGGGCTAAACGCCAGACGAAAAATCACCACTCATGGGCCAGTTAGTATGTCCCTGTGACCCAGTGAGCTATGCTGGCTGGAGTCTAGCATTCTTGGCAGGTTCATCCATCCCAGACAGGTCTAAGGGTAGGCGCCAGAGGAAGAATCATCACTTATGGCGGTCCAGTTTGTATGTCCCTGGACCCAGTGAGTTACGCTGGCTGGAGTCTTGCATTCTTGCAAGGTTCACCGATCTTAGCCAGGTCTGAGGGGAGACGCCAAAGATTGACAGGGAGACAGTTATTTATTCATATCAGTGTAACCCATTCAGATTCCTTACCACCTTCCATCATTTGGGGCCCTGAAAAGAATACTTTTTTGGGTAAGGCGTAGGGCTGACCACCTCAAACTAAAACTGTTTTGCTGCGAAGCTTCAAAAATTTCAGCTTTAACGAGAGTGTGCCAAGCAGCCAAACATTTGGCAATATCAGCAACCATGTTCAAAGCCTGCATCAGGAAGGCAGGAGAGTGAACAGCCTGCTTGGGCCAAAAGATACGTATAGGTACGTGGAATATCCAAACCAAGATGAAACATTAACATTTGCGCAGATTTTAAATGGAATGAAAAGTTGTTGACTTGAGATCTTTGAGATAAGTGAGTGCCGGCGGCTTAGTTTCGGACGTAAGGTGAAGTGCGATGATTCAGTAATCCAATTTTTGGGCACAAGGACACTACCGTGGTGTAACCTTAACAGTTACCGAGAACAAAGTGTTCTCCTTGAAAGGAAGGGAGCGCGCACTGTATGAAAGGAAGATAATGTCCGCTAAAATAAACTCCAGACACTCAGTATCAATATGCGCCTCCGTGGCAAGCACATGAAAAATTCTGTCCCGTTTAAAGATAAAGATGTCAAAAAAGCAAGGAATTAGTGTGAACAGGCAGCCAGATGGGTAGAGTGTCCGCAAAGGTCTGAAACTGGAATGATCCTACTGTTACCCCTCCAAGCATGGGACTTCTTTGAAGTAATATCAGTCCTCCTACAGAATAGGACACACAATGAAAGCCACGAAATGGAGAAGCCCTGGGTGTTGACTGGGAGGCTATGCAGAGATACTGAAAACCGACCTCGTATTCGGAAACCAAGCCATCTCAAGCCACTGGACTCACTGTGTGAAAATTCAAAAGAAAGGTAACCTCCAAACCTGGGACATCTGGCGAGGAATTACTCTGCAATCGGCCCATGGCAAAGATCTCCAAAAACGTCCTTCGAAGCATTTTTCCTACCTGAAAAGAGGGGAACAAGCTGGTTTCAGGTAGTAAAAAGAAAGTGTAACAGTTTTTTGCCCTGAGGAAACTTATAAAGCAGTGGTGAGAGTGGAGCTGCCCACTGTGCATCGTCGTTATCTTTATCTTCTCCCCCATTCTATTCTTCGGGTTGTCACTAACCGGCTTAAGCGAAAGACCACATAAGACACACCAACAGCTGGTCGTCTTGCTAATCGGAAGACCTGGACTTTGCTGACGATTGCTGCGTTTTGACAGAACGCCGAAAAGGCATGACAAACAAAATGAGCTCAATATCGGCCTCGCCAGGACACACGAGCTGACCATTAGTGCGAGCTCAACTACACCGTTACTATTGATGGCAAGCCAAAGTGGAAAAACTGAAGAGGTCGCCCAAAATCCAGTTGGTGAAGGGCTGTCGCAGCTGAGCCGGTTATAAGACTGAGAGTCTTTCTTGGAACAGGAACAGTATGTGGCTAACATCAGAAAATGTCGGAGTTGGTGTATTATCGTTGAGGCCGTTTGTCTCTATGGGGACGAAGAGGATATGTCCTTTATTATTTTAAGTCTTTCTTTGTGTCTATATGAAGACAGACAGCGAAAGAAAATGAGCATCGAAAGCTGAATTAAAGCGATCAGGGTGTCCAGTTCCAAGTTTTTCCTATTTTTTGAGCGTATATTCCTATTTTCTCCTATTTTTAAACTAAAACCTCCTATTTTTCCTATTTTTTAGTTGGTGAAGCCAAAATTTGCAACAAAATTGAAAATGGAATTATAGTTGCCCCCGCGAGGATTTTGCCCAGAAGGCGAAATCCCTAGGAGGCACTCTTGACTAGTAACTCGCGCGCCATATTAAGGAAAGTACTTACAGCTGAAATATACAGTCAGTATGCCAGAAAAAATCTCGGGATCACTCACCGTTTCTGGGAAACCAGTCTAGATAGCCTCAGAAAAAATCGTCTCGATAAAATGGCTACTCGATCTGCCAAGAAGACGTGACTCGTTTAAAAAACAATCCTCCTTATTGAAACGAGGCTCGTTCAAAAAACAAGTCCTTCTGAAAACGAGACTCGTTTAAACGAGACTCGTTCTGCACATGAGACTCGTGGAAAAACGAGACTCCTTTGGAAAGACTAGTTTAACGAGACTCGTTTAACGAGACTCGTTTGGAAAGACTCGTTTAACAGAACTACTCGTTCGGAAAGCGAGACTCGTTAGGAAAACGTGACTCGTTCGTGAAACCAGACTCGTTTCACCAGACTCGTTCGTGAAAGATTCGTTCGTGAAGGGAGGCTAGTTAATCAATTAATTAATTTATCCTTTTTATTTCACTGTAAATGGTAAAGTAATGTAATTATCAAGAAAATTATTTTACTCGCAGTCCTGCGTTGACCAGAAACTCCGGCTTTGAATAGTCTTAACCTTGAAAAACTCAGATTAAGGACCATCAACTTCATATATTGTTGTTGCTGTATTTGTTGATGTCAATGTAGGCAGGGGGCAATGAATTCTTCTTTCATTTAGTGTGGAATGATTTATTTCAAATGTTTTCTTTTTTTCAGTATCTAACTAACAAATTGATGGGCCAAATATTACTAACGTAAATAATAAAGAGTATTGATGTCATTATTCTCGAGTTGTACCTTTTGTGTACTTAACAATCAGTTTAATTTCTACCACCACTATCTGTTTCATCCACAGGAATATTTTTTTACGAACAATAACCAACAAATATGTTTTTTTTTTTCAGTATCTAACTTACAAATTGATTGGCCCAATATTACTATCGTAAATAATAAAGAGTATTGATGTCATTATTCTCGAGTTGTACCTTTTGTGTACTTAAAAATCAGTTTAATTTCTATTACCACTATCTGTTTCATGCTCGGAAATTTTTTTTTTTATCAATAATAACCAACAAATAGGTTGCCCATAAGGTATAATAAAGCGCTTCTACCATTCCATCATTCTATCTAGAATACACAACACGATCTATAATTGATGAAGAACACGATGTCAATGATTAGAATAAATGCAAAAATTGCCAATCGAAATATTGAGTCTGAAAATAACACAAACGTCTAAAAGGTAGAAGCTGTCAGCTGTCAGTGGGCGCTTTCCATTTTAACGGTGTGAAGTAAAAAAGGAACAGCCCTTTCTACTAGAAATTGTTTTGAATTAAAAATGATAATAATAAATGGACCTACTGGTGCCACCAGCAGCATGCCAAATGATAAAATGAATTTCTCGTTGCTAATTGTAGAATCCAGGCTCTCACACACTTGCCCTGTTTCATTTGGCTGTGAAATTAAATTTGGCTTTTCCTTTTCATAATAAAATGTCATCAGTTTTTCTGTCCAATTGGATAGCTGCCTCTGAAAACAACATTATTCACGGCTGAAAAGGATATCATCTATTAACAATGCTTTGCTCCACTAATTGCCCTTGACGGTATATATTTTGTCTATCCAAAAATACACGAATAATAAAAAAAAGAATATTCACAATACACTACAATCTGCGACAGATTTCGGTGAGCCACTTTTTAGGCCGTGCTTAAAAATGAACTTTAAAATCTACCACACCTCGAAATACCCTTATACCCTAATACACCTTATACACTTTACCACATTCAGACTCGTCAAGAGAGTATAATTGGACACAGAGGCAAACGCCCAGTCTAGCCTTTGGGATATGTAAATTTCAGTAAAGTTATTATTAGAGACGGAAACCTGTCTCCCGAGAAGTCCACTTATTTGTGTCTCTCATGTCTTTGTTGTGGGTTGTTTTGGTTTTTTGTCACATTTGTGCTTCAAAAAGATTGAATATGCACCCATAAATATGTCAAAATTAAGATTTCCGGGCTTCTCTGGAAAACGACTTCCGGTGTCCACAAATAACTTTAGTGAAATTTACATATCCCAGAGAATTCCCTGAGACTCCCTCGCTGTCTCATTATCCTCTCTTGGACTCGTTTATCGAGAAGGGTGGGTCAAAGTGAGGGAATCGAGGCTAAAACTAGTCAGAAATGTTGTGATCTTAATGGCATGCGTTGGGCTATTGTGTCGCAGATTGTAGGAGAATCTTTCGTCCAGATAATATTCAGTAATTGTTATGGAAAGTACATTTACCATTATATCTACAAACAAAACCACAATCTATCTTTGTTATCCTAAGGAAAATACATCGAATTCATTACTCTTTCAATAACATGCCGACTGTGGACAAAGAGATGCATCATTCAAAATACGCCATCAGTCATGCTGTGGATCTTTTGGGAACATCTGCTATATTTCAGAGGTGAGGATGAAAGAAAACTCATGTCCCTGAGTTGCGACTGACGGCAGCATGAAAAGAAATCGCAAATCTGGTTCTTAAACGGGCTATGCCACGACAATTTTGTTGTTCTGGGTCAATTCTTCGCTAACGCCGTTACTTAGCGGTTTTACTTATGCACAAAATGTTCCTGATAAATGTGAGGTGGACATCTAATGAATTGTATCAAAATGAGCAACCTGTAATAAGGTTTTTGGTATTTTTTTGTTGAGTTAGCATCAAACCCCTTTAACCTCAGAAATCGCATGTTATTGAAAGGCCCAGTGATGATTAAATTCAGTTGTCGGTTTTGCTGTTTCCTTCCTTCTCTTTCTTTTTCTTCTGTCTTTGTGCTGTTGTTCTGGTGTTCTTTCTTTTCCTTTTTTTCCTTTCTAAAGACGTGGCGGGCACGTCTTTATTTCCATCGTTCTTTTTATCTTCTTCGTTCTTATCTTCTCCATCTTCTTTGGCATCCATTTCGGCATCTGCAATGACAATAAAACCTGCGTTACTAAACTCCAACCAGCCCAGAGTTATCGTACAATATCTTTCCCAAACACATAAAGACCCCCCTGTCAATGCTTAACGGTATTTAGCTTTACATAATGGCCGACGGGGCACAAAAATGAGCCAAAAAATAATCTATAGAACAAAGACTTGTGGGAAAGATATTTAAGACTTGGCTACTGATGGCGTTACAAAGTGAAAATCGCAGCCTTTTTTTGGTACCAAGAACGTTGAGAATTTTAAAATGAAAAGTTCTTACCTTCCAGGGTTTTTGACAATGCGTCTTCTTGGTAGTTGTAATTCCCTTTGAAGGAAACCTGTCAAAAGGAAATCCAAGGGAAGTATTCTACCCATAAATGTCAAACAGTCATCCCGGGCCCTTTAAACGTTGGATGGCTGTTTGACATTTATGGGTAGAATACCCCCCTTTCAGTTTACCCAAGTAAGTGTTCAAGAAATGAACAAATACACTGTGGTTATGTTTATATTATAAGAACCGAGTTCAGTGATTTTATATCAAAATTAATGCGCGTTTAAATTACCTTTCTATGTATATGTCTTCTTGCTACTCCTAATTTTCCTAATCATTAAACAATGGTAGAATTCTAATAATCTGGTCTCAAACGTCCCCGTTCATGAAGAGCCTGGTTTCAGGTGTTCTGGTTAGATTAGGGAGTCTATCGAGCGAGGGTAAGTTCTTAAGAGCCTGTTCCCGAGTGTCCTGGTTTACGTTCATCGATCGGGGCGAGGAAGGGGGGGACGGGGGGTGTGGGGGGGGGTTTGGGGGGTAAGTTGCCTTACATATTGTCTGATCTCAAGCGATCCAGAAAAAGTAATCAAATGCTTTCTAATACCATTCTCATGTCCACCGAAAACGTGAAATTTTATCAGCCTGGTCCCACGTTTCCAGGCTCGATTAGGAAGTCTATCTACAGAGGGTACATTCCTAAGAACCTGGTCCCAAGTGTCCGGGCTCACGAAGAGCCTGGTCCCAAGTGTCCTGGCTCGATTAGGAAGTCTTTCGACCGAGTTTACCTTCCTAAGAACCTGGTCCCAAGTGTCCAGGCTCACGGAGAGCCTGGTCCCAAGTGTCCTGGCTCGATTAGGAAGTCGTTCGACCGAGTTTACCTTCCTAAGAACCTGGTCCCAAGTGTCCGGGCTCACGGAGAGCCTGGTCCCAAGTGTCCTGGCTCGATTAGGAAGTCGTTCGACCAAGGGTACCTTCCTAAGAACCTGGTCCCAAGTGTCCTGGCTCACGGAGAGCCTGGTCCCAAGTGTCCTGGCTCGATTAGGAAGTTTTTCGACCAAAGATGAGTTGGCAAACAAAGAACCTGGTCCCAAGCGACCACGCTTAAAAGCAAGGACATATTCACTGCCTCGTTAACGCCTTTCGTTTTATTGTTGATAGATTCCTAAGAGCCTGGTTCCGAGCGATCCAGTAGGAAGTTATAAAATATGTAATTTTACCACCCCAACACGCTAAAGAGAAAACTGAGATAGAATCCTAAGAACCTGGTCCCAAGTGTCCGGGCTCACGAAAAGCCCGGTCCCAAGTGTCCTGGCTCGATTAGGGACTCTATCTACTGAGGGTACGTTCCTAAGAACCTGGTCCCAAGTGTCCGGGCTCACGAAGAGCCTGGTCCCAAGTGTCCTGGCTCGATCAGGAAGTCTTACGACCGAGTTTACTTTCCTAAGAACCTGGTCCCAAGTGTCCGGGCTCACGGAGAGCCTGGTCCCAAGTGTCCTGGCTCGATTAGGAAGTCGTTCGACCAAGGGTACCTTCCTAAGAACCTGGTCCCAAGTGTCCTGGCTCGATTAGGAAGTCGTTCGACCAAGGGTACCTTCCTAAGAACCTGGTCCCAAGTGTCCTGGCTCGATTAGGAAGTCTTACGACCAAGGGTATTTTCATGAGAGCGTGTTTCCAATTACCCTGGTTCAATCAGAAAGTTCTTTCCCCGAGTGTAGAAAAGGGTTTAAACTATTAAGATCAAATAAATGAGTGCCAATTACGTTGATTTCCTAACCTTAGAGTCGAAGAATGTTTCCATTTCTGTCTCCTCCTGTACGAATAATAGAAAAATGTTAATTACTACTAGTAACATTTCGCCACTATGAGCGTAGGGGGTGGGTGCTAAGAAGTAAGACAGAAGTCCATTTAGACTATCCACTCCATGAGGAAATCTGATCTCCTTGCAATTTTACCCATTGAAAATATCTAAGATTGTACTCAGGGTGGTGTATTACAAAATGTAAGCAACTTAAAGGCTAATGCTGCATTCACAGCGAGGTTTAAACACGTTTTAAAGGTGTTTAGTTAAACAAGGTTTCAAATTTTTTTTCATAGAAGTTACTATCGGGTATCAGTTCGTTTTATACTTTCTACCTACTCTTTCAGTAACATTCAGCGTTTCGTTGTGGCTGATCGTTTCCTGGTGGGAAACAACATGGTGACCTCTTTGTAGTGTAAAGTAGTGGGGCAAAGTTTCCTTTGTTCCTGCCCAATCGTAGACTTCCTGTCGCATTGAGAAGAATAACATAAGAACGTGGTAAAAATTTCAGTTATTTACGGTTCTACTTCTCATTAACCTTGAACGTACTTGTTTGTACACAACGCATGTTTTGAGTTTTGTTGCATTGCACTGAGTTAGTAATGCGTTCCGTAAAAATTTAGAGTAATGGTTATGGTTTCTTTTTTAGCGAGTTCGGAGCAAGTCAAAACAAGAGTCATGGGGCTAATTACTTAACTTTGCCTCTAAGTTTGTACCAGGTAATTCAAAAAATACGCAGATAACTTAGATATTATTTGAAACGATTAACTCTTTTTAGGTAGTGCTGTTCCTTACCTGAAAATGAGCGCCTCTTTTAAATTTCCTCGAGAAGGTCCCCGTCGAGGCACGAATTCGTATTGTTAACCCATCCTCCGGCTCATCGGACAGGCGGGCTTTCCTTGCCTTTTTTCATTATCCTGCAAAGTCGTTGCAGCTAAGCTTTAATGTTTATGAAGACGTTATATTCAATGTAGTACGTAAGGGTGGCAACAATAATGGAAGCCACTGTTGCTTTCGCTTAAAGCCACTAATATGTTGTTTTGATCTAGCCACATACGGCAAACAGGCATAGAGAATAGGCTTCTACCTGATGATGCAAGTAGTGTTTACCTGTCGTTCAGCCTTTCTTGGCTCACTTTCTTCCTGTTGTGCCTTATCCAATTGCGCTCGACGAAAGTTGTCGTCTTGCTCTTCCCTCTCCGCCCGGAACTTGTCGAGTTGTTCTCTGCGAAATTGAAGTCAAGGCTAGTAGATTACTTAACAGTTGTACATCTGCCTATCGAGCCCCATCAACACATGCAATTTAAAAATTTTAAAAAAATTGCTTATATATATCTGCATGTATGTACATGTACACTGTTAAGGCCTCGTGGGACAGCGTTCCACATAATAATAATATTGATAATAATAAGTAGTAAAAATAAGTAATTAGTATTAGTTCTTCGCCTACGTTTCACCTACTAATAACTAATGAAAGTATAAGCTATGAATTGTCTTCAGCTGGCTACATACTTAAAACTTAGAATCGCAAATACATGCTTACAATTACACAGATTGCTTCGATTATCAAAGTGTTTGAGACTACTAAAAACACTTACAAAATTGGTGCATCGATCAGCACTCATAAACTGGAAGATAATGGTCGATTCTACATGTACCTTTGCGACGACAGCACTTTGAGGGCGTCGCAAGTCTTTTCCAGGACCTCGGACAACGTGTCATGGATGTGTCTAATTCCGTAAGGTTGTTATCTGTTATAACACAAGCAGATTACGAAATAAAAATATGTTTTCCTTATTAAAAAAAAAAAAAAAAAAAGTTAGGTTATGCTATAGTAGCTGAAATTTTTGTTCCATTTGAATTTCCAAGAGGCTGGTTATCAAGAACGGAGAAACTTTGTGGCAAAAGTTCCTTGTGTGTGACTTTTTATAATTCGACCTTGAAGAAGATACGAGGTTACGCGTATTGGCTTGTATGCTTGATTTGAGGTCTGTAAGCAATGCATTCTTTTTTTATAACAAGAGAACGATATCGAAGGAAACTTAAATATATTGTCAAAACCTACCATGAAGTTGCTTCACCAACGTTGACTTCCATGTCGTCGATGGCAGAAGAAACAGCATGGAGTTTGTGGTGTCTCGCACACTAAACATGCTGCAAACTTCAAGAGACAGAAATCATGCAATTATTGATTATAGTTATAACGTGTGTCTAAGTACCTTTTAGCGTTGCTAGAAGTGTGTAAGCTGATTTACGTCAATGTGTATGATAGCGTGAAATTAACATTTACCTATTCTACCATTAACTGACGTAGTCTCAGCAATCCAGAACAACCACTGCTGGTTCTTGCTATTCAGCCATCTAAGAGCCCTGAAAATGATCAATTAAATGTCACTGACGCTAAAATTATGTCCACTTTGCCCATTCATAAGCATAATTTTGCAAGTTTAGGTTTGATTTTAATAAACAATCAATAATTATACATAACTGGACACATGTGTGTAACTTAAACGTTCCGATTAGTAGCCCTAATAATCAATCTGCGTACTTGAGATGCTCAAACCAGTGCTACTAGCTTCCTCAATAAAAGAACAGTATATCCAAAAACGTTTAGCAGCAACAACTGCACATTTTCGCATTCTCATGTGTTGCACCTGCCTACCTTACAATGCCTTCTCTGATGGCCATGTCTTCCTTTTTAGGGTTTAACAAGATTACCCCCATCGCCTTATTCATTTGGCGTGCCTGCCAGCAAAGCTAAAGAACAATACACAACGTTAAAAAATCACTGCTGATTTTTTGAAATAAACTAGTTTATGTTTATTAGTAACTTTACCCCATCAACCAAAGTGCATCGGTTTTGGTGTATTTTTTGTTATTTCCTTCGTCTAGATTAAGTCTTTTTTATTTGTTTCGTTAAACGCTTAAGTCTACTTGTTTTGGCCCAATAACGAATAGCTCTTTGCGGGATTTAAAGGCAAACATTCTATCACTACACTAGTAATACTGAGCAGGTCGTGAGTGTAGTTATTGTTAATACTAGCTTAATACTAGCCTGACTGCTGCACGTTCTGAAGAATACGGGGGTGGGGGGGTTGGGTGGTGGGAGCACTTGAGTAACCAGTCCCCTGTATTCTTTGCTTCAAATACCATCTACCTTTGCGCGTGTGACCGAAAAAAGGTACATAACTTTACCTCGTGGAAAGAGTCCACCAGAAAACACGGCAAGAATGTGTCGTCTCCCTTGCAGGCAGCCAGAAGTCGTTTTTCCAAACGAATCACTTCATTCGTTCTCGAAGGTAAGTTGGAACTGTCTTCAGGGTAAAAAACGAAAGCAAATTCCAATCATAATTTTTCCTCCATAAAGGCCTTACATCCATAGTATAAACTTTCACTCAATAGCTTTGTATGGTTTCAACGAACTATGGGTGATTAAAAGTTTCTCTTACCTCCCAACCCTTGGGGCGACAGGTCTTCTTTGACTGTCCCAACTGTTTTTAAGTTGCAATTCAAAAGAAAAGAAGAAAAAACATTAGTTTAGCTGTAGTAATAAAAAAATTGAATCGATTAACCATCACTAATGCTTTTGGAGTACCTTTTGAGGACAAGAAGTTGACAATAATCAGTAATCAGCACAATTATTGTTCATGTCAGTCATGAATATTTGTTTCACGAAGCTTCACGTAGCAGATACATTACTTTGGCTGACACTGCCAAAACACACCTTTGCCCTTTAATTGGCACGAGTCTGATAATTGAAGCTTACAGACTAACCAGAAGCTTTTTTGTCACCTTGAAAAGGTGATAAGCTTCTGCCTTGACCTATTAGCGAGGAGGCATTTTAAAACCAACAAGAGACTGTAGCATTTCAGAATTTCAGTAACAATGAAACTGTATTTCAACAAGAGCATCCACATAATATGAAAAAGGTCATGAATGACAATTTTTAAAGACCATACATGACGTTACCTTTGGTGCCTTCACTGTAGAAGGGGTGTGCCAAGAATACCTAAAAAAAAGTAACAAGCATGGACCCTTGCACAAAGAACAATTCATTTGAGAGGCAGTGATATGGCATGGAGTGTGTAGATTTACTTTTGCTTAAAAATGTGGGATTTTGAAATGTTAACTCGGCATATTAAATAGTGGAGTGCAACAGCAAATCAAAATGATCCTCCTATGGGAGGGTAAAAGGAGCACACTGCTGCTATAGGTTAATGTAATGTGTAATTCTCTTTTTTTCTTCACAACTGTAGTTAACTCAGTATCCTACATTTGCATCTTCTCAAACAGGGTAGGGTGTGTGGCTACCAGAACATGGTATATAAAGGGCTATTCACCTACCAAAAAATGCAAGCCCCCCAAAAATAATAATAATACCTGTATTTATTCACTTAATGCTTGTTTGATCAAAAACTGCTCAAAACTCGGGGTGTATCTTATAACTATTGTTTGTAATGTGTGACTTTTTCACTTTTGTTTGGAGAATGAAAGCACAGTAATTAGTACCTTTTGGAAGCAAATTCTTGTAAGTACTGCGAACTTGGTCAACAAAATTTCACGTAATTCTGGGTGCGCCTTATAACAGGGTATTTAGGTGAAAATTTCATTTTGCTTACTTGTCACAATTGTCTTCAAAAGTTTAGGGTGCGTCTTATAATCACGTGCACCTTATAAGTGAATACATTTGGTAATTGTTGACTGGAATAACTGAGTTAAAAATAATCAGTTTGGTGTTACATGTACATCATCACACTTTTTTATTTTCTAATAAAACAACTATTCACCTAAGTGTTGCGACAAGCGGTGGATATTTACCTTTGTCGCCTGTGGCTCGACAAAAATTAATATCCACCACTAGCAAACTCCACTTCGTGAACAGTTATTAGCACCCAACTCTACTACTATGTACCTTTGGAATAACTGGATGAGCTGAAGTTTCTGTTGCAGATGAAGGATATCCTTGCCAAACTGAGTAATGAATGACACTTATATAAATGCAGATCATGTCATTTTTTAGATTATTAAAAAGTAATATCCATGCCTTCTTAAGAAGTAGTAGTAAGCCCAATTTTTAAAGTCTATTCCATTATTTTCTTTTTCTTTTGCCTTTTTTTTTTTTTTTGAAGGGGGGGGGGTATGGACAAATTTATATTCATCTGAAAAAGAGGAAACCTTTATTTACAGGCTCACATTCACCCAGTTGCGTATGTTTTTTCAACCCCTGTAAAACAGCGTGATCTTTTAGATAAGAGAATGTGACACTCTGTCAAGTATCCAGGGGAAAATAAAAGACTTTTGTCTCTAACAGTATATTGTCCTTTACAACAAAGTTCCTTCTTCATTTATTACATGATCATAGAACTTGGGGTGTTGAGACTACAATACTGTGGCAAAACTCACGTCCCAACCCCTGCACTTTCACCAATCAGACAAGATTAATTTACTTGTCAATGATGTCACAGATGATACGGTAAATGGTTAAGCTTAAGGTTGTATTGCAGGGACTAATTAGAACAAAGTTCCTACCATGACTCTGGTCCAAATCTATCACCTCTGTATGCAAACTCCGAGATAAATCAACATCTGTTGAAACATACATTGACATTACTCTCAAAGTGACCATGAGATATCAACATTTTGTCATTACAAATTATGGCATCATCTTCCCTGGGCATTAGAAATGATTTTATATGAAAGTTAGGGCACTTTCTTCATATTTAACAGACTATTCAGAATGTTATTACAGGAAAAAGAAGGTTCTTAGGCAACCTGAGATTGTCACATGACTTGTATGTAAATTGTAGTTTTGAGTGACATGGGAATGTGGAGCCAATTTTGACAGTCTTACCTTGATAAAGGTCCACATCTATCACTTCCCCAAATGGACTCTGTAGTAAATTAGCATCTGTGGAAATATGCATTGACATATCACGAGCAGATATTACGTGGATACTTCCAAACATAGAGTGAAAATTTAGGTTGGATGGCTAAGCAGAGAAAGAACTTGACCATTTTTTTTTTTTTCACTTGTTCATTATTAATTATTTCTAAGCTTATCTTTTCTTATTGACTGAAACAACATACTAATGTACTGGTTCAAAGTCATGAGAAGCAATGTAAACAAGCATGGGTGAATGTATTCCAGGAGGAATCATGTGGCTCAGTATTGTTTAAGAATTCCAGGTGTCGTGCTGGCTTACATGTATGCTACCGGGGGTAGTTCTTTCGTTTGTGGCTTCTGCATTAATTTTTTAGAGCCTATCTAAAACAGCATAATGGCACATTTTGTAAATATACAATCGAAAATATGCAATTTTGGGTTACTTTTGTCAGAACTATTAATTTTTGGGAAGGTCATTTGGCTTTATAACTGTTTTTAACCTTTCACAATCGTAGTTTTGAGGCTAATTTACATTATACTCTGGCATGTTTCCTATTCAAACTTACCATTGTCCATCTGCTGTGTACTGGCGGACTGACTTAGGGCAGTTAAGTATTGTCTTGTTTCAGCTGGAAAAATTAATGTTCATCTTTTGATTAAATTATGCCTGAAAAATACCCTTTGTCCTATTTGCAAGGCACTTTAACCCTTTGGCTCCTAAGGGGTCTCCATTTCACAAGTAAAATCGTCTGGCATTAGAGTAACATCTATAAAGTCACTCTAAGGGGGGAAAAAAGATAAGGGAGATAGCTTTTTAATTAGAACTTAAGAATCGGCTGTCTTTTGGTTTTGATAACAAGGTCTCAGTTTATTGTTTCATTCTTAAATTATTGACTACTGCAACCCAGGTAACAACAAAGACATAATATACTTAATTGCTAGCTGTGGAAGATCTTGACGATCCCTATGTAAAACAATCACTTTCAGAATTATCGGAAAGAAAGAATGCACTACAAATTGAAAATGTATGTTAGAGCCTGTTTTGAATCCTAATTCCATTTGCCTTTTCAAATAAACCGAAACAACCTGTCGTGTATTTACAACTGCCAAGTTCTTTTCGAATAGGGGTCCTACCGGAGTATGTGTAAATGCTGTGATTTTAGCGAAGAGGTTGTCTATCAGATGCTTATTTTACCTTTGCAATACAGATGGGTCGTTTCTGTATAATTTTTAATGCCCTCCATTGAATATAAAATCAGTGTGTTTGTTTTTCTTTTGCTGTGTTTTTTTTTGTTCCTTTTTTTAGTGATAACTTGGGAATGCAAGTGGAGGCAGATTTCTTTGCTACATGTTTATACTTGCCTGCATCTCTAGGTACAACTGCGTTTGTCCTTCCTTGTGTGGCAGATGCAGATCCTATATCATTTCCAGAGTTGGACCTCTCTGAAAATGAAAGCAAAACATTACAACTCTGCATACTGTGACTGGAACTGGCAATGGGAGGTACTTGTCTCTGGTATGTAAACTTCAACTACAGGTGTAAGCTGTTATTGAGTGACTCTGCTGTTTGAAAAGGTTGGCCTCAGGTAGAAGTCTCAACACTTTAATTCAGACAAAGAATTATTTGCATACAGAAAGATATAGAACTGAAAGGAAAAGAATGAGTTTTGAATGTCTGTGAGTAAATGAAAATTGTGTTAACATTTAAATGTCAGTACCTCCATTCTCATCATCATTCTTCAGAATGAGGTAGACCCTTTTAGACGTGCCTCCTTTAAACTTGTGCAACAATTGTGTTGCATCTGGCACGTTTTTGGCCACCTTCTTCAAGATGCTACCCCTGCTGCCAGATTTGTAAAGGCGTATTCTGTCACAAAAAAAAAGAAAAACTTAGAAGAAAATGAGACTGTCCAGGCAACACTCTTGGTGAAAGTTCATCACACAACAGGCAAGGAAGCTTCTGAAGCAGTATGAGAAAGACAATTACAGTATATAAATTAATATAAATTAACCTTATACTAAAAAATTATTGGACCACTGTTTGTCAAGCATACACTGAAAAAATTACCATGGTGCTCCTCTCTGATTTGTGTGCATGGCTGTGGTCTGGTATCCTGGTGCCTTAGTCACCCAGGTTTTCCTTTGGGCAACTTGATAACTTTGTTTTATGAAAGCTGACAAGTAAGAGCTGAGCACCCCAGATTTCCTTTAGTTCAATTCTGCTTAGAGCACAGCCTTGCCATTTCCCTGAAGGGCCAAATTTTTTTTGAGACCGCCCCTTCCCCCCTTATCTAAAGGTCTGGATGACCCCCCCCTCCCTATCGCAAGGTGTGGATCTGGCACTGGTTAGACGTCAATAAGTGCAATGTTTTCTCTGGTAACATAGTAAAGTAACTTATCCTACCCCATCAGGTCTAACCTCTGATGTGGTCTACACTCTGTATCGCACTTCTTTTTACAACATTGGATGAGGGAAGTAGGAAATAAGGCATGCTTGAGAGATTTAAGAGTGTTATAGAGTTTTTCGCAACACGTTTTGTCTAAGATTGAAGGTAGCAGGGCTCGGGGATATCACATTTGGGTCTGTGGCTAAAACTGAGCACTTGACAATGAAATCCCGCAAGGTATACAGGGTGAATACTACAATACATTCAACGTTTTGGTTAGTCACTGAATTGTGTATGCAATAAAACTGCCAATAATTGATAAGTATTGCTTTTTACCCAAGCAGGTGATAACTTTGGTGTTTCATAGTCTGCTCCAGTTTGTTAGTTCTTTGTATATCACTTGATATGCTTTCGAAAGACTATATTTGCAGTCAATAATAAAATAAAATTGATCGATAATCTTTGGTTGTGCTTGATATTTTGATAACACGTGGGGGAAATTTAAAAAGTAACACAACGAATTATAGAGAAAGAAACAAATGGAAGTTCTGACGAGTTATCTTCAAAATTGTATTATTTTACTGATGGTTGATTTTTCTGTGCTCCACGCGCGCGCACTCGCGCTCCGCGCTCGCTGTGATCCACTCCCTTCGTTTCGTGAACTCGAGGAGTGCGAGAATATCACGTTTCCGGGCACTGACAGAAATTCTTTGGTCAGCCCAAAAAGTTATTACGCACGACAGTGCCTTTAGTCATTCTACAACTTCAAAATTATTGCTTAAGATTTGCTTTAATCAAACGTTGCCTGGACGAGCAGTATTTTTCCGGGGGAGGCGCATCTGCTTACGGCTTTGTTACGTAATTTTAGAGGCGAGAATGTTCCGTTTCGCGGCACAATCATAATTGTTTCTACAGATGGAGCTTACCTTTTGAAGTCAACTTCTGCCAATTCGGGGAAATTCTCTTTTATTTTGTCCCTCATCTGACGTTCGGTGAATTTCTTCCCGAACTCGATCTCCTTTACTCTTCCCTCGCGATTTAGTTCATCCCAAGGCCTTCCACGTGGGATTGCTTTTAGGTAGACCCCTCAACCATACAAAGGTTCTCGACGATTTCGGTCCAGTTCGTGCAACAGAGGGAGATGCGGGTCTCTCGCTATCACTAGAGGAGCTAGATTCCGCCATGCCTGAAAGGTAAACTGAAGCGCTCAAAGTGCGGAGCCTAACAGTCATATTATATTACAAGCTGAGAAGAACAATAACACTTCCGGCGTATGTGAACCGCCCTTCAGTAGTCAAAAGTAGTGTGTGTCCCAGATGTTGATAAACCTCCTTAAAGACAACGTACAATTGTATCTTTCACTAAATTTTCACGAAGTTGCAGTTCGACTTTCATTATATCTGTTCACTCTTTCTCTTTAATACAACGTTTTCGACCAAAATGAACAAAACAATAGACGCTTATCAAGTGGTTAATATGTTACATAGCCTTCGCCTGGTCTCCGGGAGGGGTCGGGTAGCTTGCTTCGAATGTTTCTGGCCGCGCGAGCAAAAGGTTCGAAGTAAAGGGATGGCGTTACCTCGTTTCTCCGCCAACACCCTGTTCCTTGGACCTTTTACTCTCGCCCGCTCGCGCGGAAAGAAACATTCGAACCGGAAAGCTTTCTATGCAGGTTGAGATAGGTCTTACTGAGCTGGACAATTTTCCGAGAAAAGAAAAAAAAATCCCCTCAGTAATAAATTAGAAACCCTGTCATTCCACAGCTGAGAACTCTCCACAATTTTTAATCTACCACCAGAACTGTATGCAAACGTTCAGCCAACACAGTTCTGCAGCCTCGCGGGAGTGGAATAAACTTTCCTCGACTCTGCTCTTACTGTTCGTGTGGGTCAAAATCGTCCGAGTTCGATTTGGGATTTGAGCATTTCATCATTATTCCGGTACGCACAGAAATATATATTAGTTTGGGTACTCCTCCTTTTTCCATCTTCCTTATTTTATTTGTTTATTTTTACTGGTAACAGTTTTTAAGACACTCTACATGATCCTCCACGAACTATGTCTCTCTTATAAGCATGCAGGGTGTCTTAAAAAGGTAATGTTACCAGTAACTGAATAAAAAAAAAAAAAATAGTGAAAACGCAGCACGTTGCTCAAAATGCTTATAAGAAAGACATGTTCGTGGAGGAGCAACAGTGCGGCGTTTTTACTAGTTTTAAAATGAGCTCGTTCCTCCCTCTCCCTCCTCATTCAGTGTTGTTGCTTTAACTTTGGTGATTGCTTGTAGAGGCAGAAAATTCCGGCAAAATCATTGATGAGAGGGGGAGGGGAGGAAGGGGGACGCATATTGGGAATTAACGCAAGTTACTCAACAGTTATGTCCGGGATTGTAGATAGGTAAGCAGGACATCTTAGCCCACCACAACCGACCCAGCATAACATAACGATATCAGAAGACGAGCCCAGAGTGTCGTCGCTTTTGAGCATCAAGTCCCTGTCCAGCCATCCTCCGTCTATTGACCCGATCAATAAGAAGACAGACAAACAGCCTTTATTTCAGCACGATGTTAATAAACGCTATGCAGCTTATGAGGTCATGCATACCGTATTTATTCGAATAAGCGCCCAACCTCGAATTAGCGCCCACCTCGAATAAGCGCCCATCCTAAAGACAGAAAAAGTTAATAAGCGCCCAGCCTCGAATAAGCGCCCACCCCCTCCTCCTCCTAATCAAAATCAAATAAGCGCTCACCCCCACCACACCCACTTGAGTAAATAAATTCCAATGGGACACTCCCCCGAGGACGGAGTTTTCTTCAGAGTATTTTACAGAAACCTTGCTTTGTTACTTCTTCGCGTTTTGTTATTAGCATTTATTGTTTTGTTGCAAAATAAACATACTTCACTTGCTGAAAATGGTGAAAATTTAATAAGCGCCCACCTCGAATAAGCGCCCCGTCTCAAGGTCCAAAAATTTAATAAGCGCCCAGGGCGGTTAATCGAATAAATACGGTAAATACTAAACCTAAGAACGAAATATATGCATAATAACGTAACATAATAAATAAACTATCTAAAAGTCAAATTTTTGAAAACAATGACTGAACTATAGAAATATATATATATATATATATCCTAAAAATACTGAAATCTGTACGTCTAAAAATTATGTACTTGTGGAGGTCTCTTTGAAAGTCAACTCTTTAAAAATGCCATTGAAGGGGTTTTCCTCTTCGGGTTTTTATAACTTGTATTAGAAAAATTCTTGTCCTTAGAAATTAAAATATTCCATAGTACAGGGCCTCTATGAGCTATAGAGCGAATCGAGGAATTCTGGGTGGTGTAAAGTTTATATACAGAAGAAGGAACATGGGCACCCAACGGCAATTTTCGGGAAAATATCTGTTCGGAAGACGATTTGAGATCTAGAATTTTCGGAGCATTTGCTGTAAAATTTCTTGCTTGCCTGCCTCTCCTAGGATTTTCGAACATCTACAAAATGGTATAATTACCCATTTTTAACGGATTTTGACCCTAAAAAAGGCCACCTAGAATTTTCGGGAGCCTTTTCCTGGCTGAAATTTTCGAGAAGGTAAGTTTTTATCCCTATAATTTTGGGATCACCAGACTTTCAGCTAGGAAATCCGAACTGATGAAAAGTTTTAGGGGATAAAAATATACCTATATCTACCGTTTGAATACTAAAATACGTTCAACAATGCTATGTTAAGTGGTTTTGAACTATATCCTCGTTGGGTGCCCCTGGAGGAACTACGCTACGCGGTCGTAAAAACCTAGAGCAAAGATTCATTTTGCAAATCGGCACCCTTAATCCTCACGGCATCAACGAACGCTTTTCATTCAATTAATTTATTCCTGTTTTTCACGGGACCAAGTTCCCACCATTAGCATAGCTCTTTCTGTATATAAACCTTACACTACCCAGAATTCCTCTATTCGCTCTGACGAAGGGCTAACGCTCGAAACGTCAGCTTTTCAATCTCTGTACTGTGGTCAATGTACATTATCAACTCCGTTGATAAATCAGATTTTCGTGTTTCACTCTCCCACCCACGCAGCACCACATTTTCTTCAGAAACTAACCTCCTTTGGTAAGTTAAAAATTTATCTTTGCTGCCCGACAGTGCAATCGTTCCAATGAGTCGATGAGATCAGCACAGCCACCACCCCCACAGAAAGAGGCCTTAAGTTACTGATGGCAATATGACTTTGAAATAAAAATTACTAAGAACATCCTTTTGTAAAAACCTCGACCTCCTAATTAGGTCTAGCTTCTTTGCGATACTCTTTTTGACATCCAACATATGCGGCACCCAGGAGAATTTATGGTGTACTGTTATACCAAATAAGCAAGATTTATTAACCCACTCTATGGCATCAGTGCCATAGTGGATATGCGCCACTGGCCCCATTGCACGGGTTTTACAATTTAGCATAGCTTCGCTAACCTATGTTCCTTAAAGACATTAGGACCATTTATGCGAGGAAAAATAAGACGCGTCTTAAATAAGACGCGAACTTTCCCTATAAACGGCACATTTCGTCTGAAATAAGACGCGGCTTAGCTAAGACGCGTCTTATTAGATAAGACATGCTCGTATAAATGGTACAGTTCGCGTCTTATTTAAGACGCGTCTTATGTAAGACGCTTCTTATTTTTCCTCGTATAAATGGTCCTATTATGTACCAGGGAGTCATTCACCTCTGAATCTATGATTTTGCTCGTAATACTGAGTAGCGATATTGGCCTGTAATTTTTATATCTGTAACATCGTCTTTCTTAAAGATCGGTGTGAGCTTTACTATTTTCCAGCTCGAATAGAGACTCACTTTCAATACTAGTATTGAATAGCCTATACATGGATGGTACAATGTCTTCCCCCACAAGCTTTAGTAATTTAGGTGATAAGTTGTCAGGGCCCGAAGACTTATTTGACTTTACTTCGTTGACCGTCCTGCATGCATATTCTCCTAGGAGAGACCTCAATTTGAGATAGTAGCAGGGGTGACGTATCACCTAAGTCTGATCTATAAGCGCCTGTTGTTGCATTCCCAGGTGGTATTGGTAGTTTGGCTGCAATATTCGTACCAATGTTAGCAAAGAACGAGTTCATCAGGCCAGCCTTTTCTTCCTCGGTTAGCACCAAAGAATCATCACACTTTCTTAGTGGCTCAATTGGTTTACGTACCCTTGAGCTAGTTGCTTCCTTCACCAGCTTCCAATAGGCACTCGAACTCTTAACCTCGTTAAACATCTTCAAAAAAAATATAAAGCTTTGGCACGTCCTAAATCCGAGGTTATTTTGTTTCTGCTCTCTTATAGTCCGACTACAATTTTGCTCTTTTTGATGCAACAACAGCTTTAAACAACTTGTATCTTCGATTCATTGCTAAATGAAAGTCATTTGTTATCCACGGTGCAGAAGATGCTCTGACTTTGATCTCCTTCCATTGAGCAGACTGGTCACAGATATCAGTATAAAGTTTTTGCCGAAACCATATTTGATCGTCAGGATCGTCAAAAATAGACCCAGTGTGGGGGGGCTGCACGTGTTGATGTGTTCTTATGGAGACGTTAGCCCTCAGGACCTGATACTATCGAGAGCAACGAATTCACGCCCTAACATCTATATCAGTCCAGATCCCTTTGGTGTTCATAACTATTGTTCACTGGATAGCGTCCAAGCAAGTCCATACCACAGTCCAACGTTGCTGTTTGTACTTATATCCGTTCGCCTGAAAGACCACACCTACGTTAACACCCTTCTAGTGCTCAACGAGTTTCATCATAAGATGTAGCAAAGATAACGTTATCCCGCGACAAGTAAACTTCCATCTTTACTGAAAAGAATGGATCAGAAATCCATACAAGAATTAGCAATGATAATAGTAACATTGAAGAATATAACAAAAAATCAAGTATCTATCGGCGAGTTCCCGCCACACTCCGCAAATACAAGT